CGGCAGTGGTCAGGGTCAAGTATGGAGAGCCTGGCGCTGCAGGATGAGTGAGGTGCCACCGCGGGGCTTTTGAACAGGTAAGTTACATGATCAGATTTACCTTTTAGAAAGATAATTCTGAAAAAGACTAGAAAGATGATTCTGATTGTGGCATGGACAATGGATTTGCAAGTAAAAAGAGGACAGAGGTAACGGGGAATGCAGGTATTAATGTTCCACCAACTTCCCCCGGTCTGAGTTTAGGAATTCAGTTTCTTTTGAATGCCTCAGTTAATTCAGTGAACCATTTTCAGTGTTCACTCTGGGATCTTAAGGGGTAGATGCAAAAGGGCAGAGATGATTCGCGCCCTGCCCAGTCCACGTGGTGAGCCGTTGGACTCTAGCATGTGGCACTGACCTCACACCAGGGCTGCAGGTCATGCATTGTTAATTTGACAGCCATTTGTTCAGTCAGATTTTTTTCTCTTTTTGCAGCATTTAACACCAGAGTCTCAATTTCCTCAAACTCATCACTGGGCCACAGGGGCAGGGGGTAGTAGTGGCTGGTCACCAATTCTAATCACCATCAAGCTGACATTGCCATCACCCTGACGTAAGGGAATTTGTTTTCTTTTGGGACTTGGACTCATAGCTGTGTTAGCAGAACCTCTGGTGCACTGTACAATGAGCTTCCTGAGGCCAAGAAGCACGTTCTCTGAAGAGACTCTTTAAACACGGACCCTGAGCTTAATCTAGACTAAGGGTCAGCAAAGTATAGCCCGTGGGCCAGAGCTGCCTGCCATCTGTTTTTGTAAGTTTCATTAGAACACAGCCACTCGCATTCATTCCTCTATGATCTATGGCCTATGACTGCCTTTACGTAGCAAGAGCAGAGTGCAGTAGTTGCCACAGAGACCAGATGGTCTGCAAAGCCTGATAGATTTACTGTTTGGACTTTTACAGAGAAGGTTTGCTGACCCCTGGTCTAGACCAATGCTGTCCAGTAGAAATATAGTGCAAGTCACAAATGTGAGCTAATGAGATTTTCTAGTAGCCACATTTTAAGAAGGGAAAAGAAATGAAATCAATGTTAATAATTGTTTATTTAACCTATGTCCAAAGCATCATTTCAACATGAAATCTATATAAAAAATTATTGAGATATTTTATGTTCCTTTTTCATTCTAAGTCTTCAAAATCCAGTGTGCGTTTTCTACTGCGAGCACAGCTCAGTTCAGACCAGACCCATTTCAGATGCTGAAGAGCCTCAAGTGGCTGGTGGTTACTATATGGACAGTGCAGGTCTACACTCAGGCCCTCCACAGAGTGAGACAAGCCCCAGATCTCAGTGCAGAGGTCAGCCTTGACAGGGTCTTCAGATGTAGGGGAACTGTTTTTCTGTAACTAACACTCCAGTCCTCCCTCAGAGATACTGGCTCCTTCCCTCAGAAGATGGCCCAGCATAAAACAGACAAATTTCCTTTTCCAGTTGCAAAATGTGGCAACCTTTGTGGGTGTGCTGAGACTGTACTTTCAGAATTAGGCATCCTCAAACCACCCTGTGTAGTAGCTCTTCTAATTCTGGGTGCCTTCTTTGGTGGTTAGAATCATCCACAAGACAGATATCAGAGTCAGCATGGCGAAGCACCTTCCTTGACCCACCAGAGCTACAGGGATGTCATGCCGGCAGCGAGGCCAAAAGTTTCAGGCCTTGGTGAAATTCAAAGACACCCAGGTTTTGTTTCTTACTCTCCTGAGCCTCTGCCTTAGAACATGCTCAGTTATGGGAACGTCTGTGAGTTTCATCTCTCCCCTGGTATTTCTTCAGTTTATTTTTTTCCAACTTATATAGACAGAAGGAGTCACACTGAACATTTTTTATTATAGGTGTTTGTGGTTTCCTTCATCCTGTTTCAGAACACTTAAACTCTTTTCCCCATTGGGGCCTTTATTTGGGGTATATTCCTTATTTTTAAATTCTCCTATTTTGTAAGTTGGCCTCATGCCTCCATCCATGGCCTATGGCACCCTTTTCTACCATTAATGGTCATGGCTGAGTGAACATTTGTCCTCTCACCGTATATTTACCAAGCACTGCTCTGTGCTAGGCAGCGTGCGGGCACTACGGGTGCAGTAGTGAAAAGGGCACAGCCACTGCCAGTCAGGTGGGAGATGCAGACTCCTGGAAGCACAATTCTGGTGCAAGGCGAGGGTCGCCTGAGGGCGGTTGGGGGTGGGGGGAGAGGGAATGAGTCATGTCCTTAGGCTCAGTGCAGAGCAATCTCATGACTTGCTTTTGTTCCTACAGGCCAGAGCCCAGAAAGTCCTACAGAAGCTGGGAGATGTACAGGAAATATTTCACAAGAGGCAAATGGGTCTGATGAAACTGGCAGCCAGGCAGACTCGCCCGGTACAACCTGTCGCCCCCCATCCTGAGTCCTCTCCAAAATGGATGTCACTGAAAACCAGCCACGCTTCCCCCTTGGGTAGGTTATTTGGGGAAGGAAGCTTTGTGTCTTTGTTTCCATGAGATTGTGGTTGTTTAAGATGAATAGTGCTTGTTGTTTTGACAGATGTTATTTAAAACAAACTACAGATATAAAATACTACAGGCATTGAAGACTTATAAAGTTTGATAAAACTGAGTGCCTGGATGCAAGGTGTAGCTCACAGTCTAGCAAAGGAATAATATAAATGCACAAATAATATCAGCATGAAATAGACTCCATTAAGAACCTTTAAAAGTCCCACCAGATTGTGTCAGCAATGGACTGGTTAAGTTGGTTCTTTGAAAAGATTTTAAAAATACATAAGTCCTTATACCAATCCCACATGGTCTTTTTTTCCCTTTCTTTTTATTGAATTTATTAGAGTGACATTGGTTTGCAAAACCATACGGGTTTCAAGTGTACAACTCAATAAAACATCATCTGCATGCTGCATTGTGTGCCCATCGCCCCAAGCAAAGTTTCTTTCCTGTCCACTTTCCCCCCTTTGCCCACCTCCACCTATCCCCCACCCCTCTTTCCCTCTAGCTATCACCATACTGTCCTCTGTGTCTGACTGATTTATGATATATATGATATATAATATATATTATATGATATATATTATATGATATATAATATATATCATATGATACATATCATATATATACTATTTTGTTGTTGTTGTTAATCCCCTCACCTTTTTTCATTCAATCCCCCAATACCCTTCCCCTCTGACAGCTGTCAGTCTGTTCCAGGTATCCATGTCTCTGTTTCTATTTTGTTTCTCAGTTTATTTTGTTTATTAGATTCCACATGTAAGTGAGATCATGTCGCATTGGCCTTTCTCTGACTGGTTTATTTCACTTAGTGTAACAATCTCCAGGTCCATCCATGCTGTTGCAAAAGGTAAGAGATCCTTGTTTTGTGGTATGACTGTCCCACAGCTTTTGTGTCCACTCATCTACGGATGGGCACTTGGGCTGTTTCCAGATCTTGGCTATTGTAAATGACACTACAATGAACATAGGGGTGCATATATTCTTTCAAATTGGTGTTTCAGGTTTCTTAGGATATATTCCCAGAAGTGGGATAACTGGGTCAAAAGGCATTTCTATTTTTAATTTTTTGAGGTAACTCCATACTGTTTTCCACAGGGTCTGCACCAATCTGCATTCCCACCAACAGTGCACAAGGGTTCCCTTTTCTCCAAATCCTCACCAGCACTTATTTGTTGATTTATTGATGATAGACATTCTGACAGGTGTGAGGTGATATCTCATTGTGGTTTTAATTTGCATCTCTCTGATGATTAGTGATATTGAGCATTTTTTCATATGTCTATTGGCCATCTATATGTCTTCTTTGGAGAAGTGTCTATTTAGGTCCTATGCCCATTTTTTCATTGGATTGTTCATTTTTTTGGTATTGAATTGTGTAAGTTCTTTATATATTTTGGAAATCAACCCCTTATCAGATGTATCATTGGCAAATATGTTCTCCCATTCAGTGGGTTGCCTTTTAATTTTGTTGATGGTTTCTTTTGCTGTGCAAAAGCTTTTTAGTTTGATGCAGTCCATTTGTGTATTTTTTCCTTTGTTTCCCTTGCCCGAGGAGATGTATCAGTAAAAATATTGCTAAGAGAAGTGTCTGAAATTATACTGCCTATGTTTTCTTCTAGGATTTTTATGGTTCCATCACTTACATTTAAGTCTTTTATCCAGCTTGAGTTTATCTTCCACATGGTCTTGATTACTGTAGTTTATTATTCAACCTTGAGATCAGGTAGTGTAAGTCTTCCAACTTCGTTCATTTTCAAGGTTGTTTTAGCTATTTTAGTTCTTCTTCATTTTCATATAAATTTTAGAATCCCCTTTCAATTTCTGCTGGTATTATGATTGAGATTGCACTGACTATATTGATCACTTTGGTGAGAACTGTTATCCTACCAATATTGAGTCTTCCAATTCATAAATATTATAACTCTCTATTTATTTAGGTCCTCTTTAATTTCCCTTGGCAATATAGCAGTTTTTAATGTCTTAGGAATTTTATGTGTGTTTTTTTTTAACCCTATAGTAAATAGAATCACCATATGTAACTCTCTGCAGAACAATCTTCTACTTTTGTTTTGGAGTGTAACCACTGAGTGTGGACACAGGCAGGTCACTAACAGGATTTTCAAACACATTTATCTGATTCCTTAGTAACCGAGTCTGTGTCAAAATAAACTGTTATATTTCGCAGTGTAAGGAACATGGGCAGGAAGCTTAGAGATGGGGGCTGAAATGTCAGCTTACTCTTGTTAGCTAGGTGTCTTGGGTACAACATTTAACCTCTCTGAAGTTAAATAAGAAATGTGAAAAAAATCTTTTTTAATGCCATGTGGCTATAATAATAGCTAAAATGTACTGAGTGCTTACCATGATCTAAACACTTTGTACATGTTAACCCATTAAAGCCTTGCAGCAACCCGAGCCTCTAGGATTTCTCATTATGCCCCACTCTCCAGATGAAGAAACTAAGGCACAGAGATTTCTCTGTAATGTGTGTCTTGAACATGAAAAAATGAGACTTGAATGATGGCAGTGTGGCTCCCACATCCCTGCCTTAAATTCCGTCACTGTACTTAATAGCATTAAGGACCAGTGCTTCTCAGTCATGGGTATTGGCAATTACAGTGAATGCATTTCTAGCGTCCAGTTATTATACTTAGACTCACTCAGCTTACAGAGATCCTGCAGAAAGTGAGGAGCCCAGAGGATTGTCCATTGCTGTAGAGCAGCTTCAGTGGTCAAATAACCTGGGGCAGCAAACATGTACTTCACTACGGATTTCAACACAACCTCCATGAATAACCCTTAGCGAGCCCAAGCTGCTTCTGGTTAGCTCATAGAATCTGAGGGTTGCGAGGGACTTCTGAAAGTTAGATGGTCAGCCTCCATCAAGGCCACCGAAAATAAGAATCATGGTGATATATTTGAGGCATTAGATGGATGGCATTCTGGCCATGGGACCTAGAAATGCTCAAAATCCTGTCCCGGGTTAATCAGTTGTATCCTATGAGTTTTCCAAGGAAACTGTATATACAAGGTGGTGACGCTGACAAATAAGAATGCAAAGGACCACTTACTTATTAGCCTTGTGACCATCACCCCCAATGCAGCCTTCTCAATAAGTTCTAATCTTCCTGCCAATGGCCATGGAGCCTGTAAGAAGATTCTCTCAGGTGTCTGAGAGGCCTGTGGGAAGGGGACAAGGGAAACAGAGTGACAGAGAGAACTCAAGAGCAAGAAAGTCCAGTTCCCTCTTGACTCAGCCAACTGACCCGTCCCACAGTCCCATGACCCACTAATAAATATAATTCCATCAGTTCTGGCGTCCAACTGCTAGGTCATCAGATTAGCAACAACTCCTTCTGGCTAAGGCATTCATGGCCATCCCCTATATAATCATAGTATGAGTGTGTGTGTGTGTGTGTATGTGTGTGTATATATATAGAGAGAGAGCATTTCAAAGAATATTGTAAGGAAATATACCAAGTGGTTGTGTTTAAGTAAGATTTTAAGATTATTCAAATTTTCTGTAATAAGCACAAATTAATTACCTGTATTATGGAAAAATATATTCAACAGTATGTGATACCTAGACTTGAACCTGGTCTTCTAATCCAACAACAACTTCAAGTGCAGTACACATGAAAAATGCTCAAGCAGCAGCACCTAGAAGGACCCCTGAAGTATGAAAGTCAAGGAGGACTGCAGAAGGAAAGTGATGCTTTATCTGATCCTTAAAAATACGAATGATGGAAGCTATCGTCTTTACCACATTACATCACTTACTGATCTGTTGTGGCTGGATGTTTCATGTGGTGTGGGATATGACTTTTGTCTCTTTGGCTCAAATGCCAAGTGCCCGGGGTCAAGGACTCTGTTTCACTATTGCATCTCTCCTTCACCTCTAAGTTCACCTACCACCTTGGAAACCACTGCAGCAACTCAGTTTAGCTTTGTTAATCAACTGCCTCAACACAGTCCTGCTGCTTGTTCCAGTCCAGCTGAGCACTGAGTTATTTAGAAGCCGGATCACCAAATTAATGGCAGGTTTTCTTTGTCCCTATAGCTCCTCTTCAGAAAACATCTGAGGAACCTTATGTGGAGACAGATTTGAACTCCCTGGAAAAAGTAGATGACAAGACTAAATATGAAGGCAAGGTAAGATCACCCTTCTTGTACTGATAGAAGTTTCTGGTATGAGAGACTGTTGCTGCCATAATTATCAATAAATCAAGTTCCCCTGTTTCACACCTATCATCAGCTCCAGAAAATATGCCCATAAAGGCATGTAGCATGGACTAGTGCTCCCAAGAGCTGAGGTTTGTAGGATTTCTTCCTTTTCTTTCTTCTTAATTGCAACTAGATATGGAAAACTGGTCATGCACATAACTGTTGGTAGATATTGTTTTATTGGAGGAAGTCATTTTATTCATTCCTACAATCTGACTTCATATCTAAAATTGGTAGAACAGCCCTGGCTGAATGGCTCACTTGGTTGGAGCATCATCCCACATACCAAAAGGTTGTGGGTTTGATTCCCAATCAGGGCACATACCTGGGTTTTAGGTTCAATCCCTGGTTGCGGTGTGTGCAGGAGGCAACTGTTTGATGTTTCTCTCTCTTCTTCTCTCTCTAAAATCAATAAAAACATATCCTCAGGTGAGGATTTAAAAAATGGTAGTACAGTGTATAGTTTATGTATAAAAAGCACATGAAAAAATCGCACAGAGCTACACACATGCACACACACATACACATGCACACAGAGTGCATGTGTAACTGTTGAACTCTGAGTAAGCTCTAAGGATTGTGCCAATGTCATTTTCTTGGTTTTAATATTATATACTCTGTGGGGATACGAGGTTGGTACATATCTGCAAATCAATAAATGTGATACACCACACAAACAAAATGAAGGGTAAAAAACTCATGATCATATCAATAGATGCAGAAAAGCATTTTATAAAATCTGGCACTGATTTACAATAAAAACTCTCAGCAAAGTGGGAATAGAGGGGACATACCTCAATGTAATAAAGACTATAGGCTATATAGGACACACCCACAGCCAACATCATACTCAGTGGGCAAAAACTAAAAGTGTTTCCCTTAAGATGGGGAACAAGACAGGGATGTCGGCTTTCACCACTCTTATTCAACACAGTACTGGAAGTGCTAGCCACAGCAATCAGACAAGAAGAAGAAATAAAAGGCATCCAAATTGGAAAGGAAGAATAAAACTCATTATTTGAAGATGACATGATACTATACACGGAGAACCCTAAAGATTCTACCAAAAAACTACTAGAACTGATCAATGAATTCAGTAAAATAGCAGAATACAAAATAAGTATCCAGAAATCAGTTGCATTTTTCTACACCAAAATGTTCTATCAAAAAGGGAAACTAAGAAAACAATACCATTCACAATTGCTTTAAAAAGAATAATACCTAGGAATAAATTTAACCAAGGATGTGAAAGACTTGTACTCAGAAAATTATAAGTCATTGAAGAAAGAAATTGAAGAGCAGCAGTGGGAGTCTTATTCAAACAGCTCATAGATAAAACCGGTAATTCTTCCCATAGAACCCCAAGCATATATCTTTACACCATTAGCCATAGACTGGCCCCTGAGTCCCATAACCAAACCTCTGTCATTCAGTCTTGCTTGTCCCAGATCACTTCTACTGGAAACCATGAGATCACCTGCCTGCCCTCCTCAGTGAAGGTGGTGTGGCCTGTCTGATGGGAACCTCATGGCTGTTCAGGGAACTGCTGGGACGCCATTCCCATTTCCCATCATGAGCTTCATCTGGACTGTGGGTGCTCCACAAAGTGCACCCCTTGGATGGAAGCAGGGTGGGAGTTGCGGGGGAGAAGCTGTGTGGTTAGTAAATGCTGAAACTTGAGGAAGCAAAGAAGCTGCAGCTAGGAAACAACACCTCTCAGACCCAGCCTGGTGGAAGGCTGCCTTGGACAGGACAAGTCGTTTCCTCCCATTGAGACTTTTGCTGTATTTCTTAATTTATATAAGTGTTTGATTTCCTTAAGTCAAATAAACAGCTCTTTTAACCAGTTCTGAAGAATGCACTGCAGGGAGCTGCATTCAGGGATCAAATTTGAGTTTCCCATAGCCGGCACTTTTACATAGAAGGCAAACTGACAAACACACAAAGAACACCAGAGTTTGACAACTAGACTAGGGATTGTCACTCAAGGATGTCTTGGATTGCCCTGCAGGCATTCCTCAACCCTCCAGAGTACAACGCAGGTTGGGCCCTTAATCCAGCGTCCTGGAGACAGCTCCTGCCTGACCCACCAGAAACCAAGCATGCCCAGAACTGAAACTACCTTTCCAACAACCCTATACCCCAAATGGGAATAAAAACACTAATTAAAGTGACCACAGGGGTTGACCTACCCACCTCCCTTCCGAAGTGCTGAACGAAACAGATTCAGGTGGCCACTCTACTTGGATTTTGAGGGGGCCAGGCCACCATTCCAGTGTTCAGCATCAAGCAGGGGTCCCCTAAAGAACAGGTCCTCCTGCTACAGTGGAGAAGCAAGCCTGTAAGCCCCTGATGAGCTGCCGCTGCTGACTGCTCCACCAAGCATCCACTCCGGGGCCAGGGGGAGTCGCTTAGGAGAGTTCCATCTGAGTCACCAAATTTGTTACCAAACTCAAGGGGTTCGCCACTTGGGGTGTTCTATTAAAAAACCAGACATGGTTGTCACAAAGTAGTTTTGTTTACTTACAACAAATAAAGGATACAGGGGATTCATAGCCAAAGCTCTGTCTCCCCGGAAAGGTGGTTTAGCCATTGCTAAATAGTGTATATACACTATTTAGTCATACGTGTTGGTTTCTTCTTTGCAGTTGACCACACTTATCTGGTTGAGAGCTTGTCAGGCTCATCCTATTTACATCTGGTCTGCAAAATACTGTGCTACATTATAACATTGAGCAAGCAGAGCATTTAGTAAGAATGGCTCTCCATGGAGACCCTTGTCCTATCTAACACATAGGTTATTAAGAGGAACACAAAGAGGCTGACTGACATTAAGAATAGTCATTGCTGCTTGTGTTCTGTAGCCACTGTCCAAGACAGAGGACCAAGATGGAGAGAACATGCATCGGGCTCCAGGTGACAATTCTGACATCTTTTTGGCTTTCAGTCTAAAACCCAAAGATGAAACGAAACTACAGCCAGTGTAGGAGCATGAATCGTCACATTGTGATAAATGCCCCTCCTTGTCCTCAAGAAAAATGCTTACAGAAACAAACCAAAAAAAGCTATACACCAAAACCATGCATGATTGCTACTAGAGTCACTGACACTCACTACCTGCAACAAAATCACAACATGATTTTGTCATCATCAGAGAACTCATTTTCTGAAAAGGTGCTCCATCTGTCTGGCAGGGTGATCCTTGTTCTGGTCCGCAGGAACTTGACAAACTAAAAGTGACAAAGTTGCTGAGATGCTCGAGACTTTCAGGACCATCTGGCAGCCACGTGGCCATGTGCTGGGCTCACCGACACAGTCGGGAAAGCCCAGGGGTGGGAAGGTGGAGATTGGCTGTGACTGCTGCGACAGTGATGTGGTCCTTCCTGTCCTTCCTGTTGCCAGCTGGAGGCTGAAAGCATGACTCACAGGGGCTGCCTTCCCCGGCTCACATCACAGCTTCTTCGAGCTGGAAAGAAGCCAGAGGCTTGATGAGAATTCCCTTTTCCTGAGTGAACCCTCAGAATGAAGGAAGTGCTACTAGCTGTGAGTGCCAACGAACAGTGTCCCTGGCACCTATTAACTTGATTTAAAGTAGCAGAGGCCTTTTCAGGCTTCTGAGCAAACAGGCTCCTTCACAAAAATTTACAAAAAAAAAAAAAAGCCAAGGCTGGAAAGGAATGGAGAGGGAAGGGAATGGTTGCTGACACTGACTGAGGGCCAGACATTGTGCTGGGTGCTGTAGGGACCCAGTGTCATTGCAAGTCCTCAGCATCTTGTGAGCAAGATAATTGTGTCCCTTGTTTTATCCCTGATGCTGTGGAGACTCTGAGAAGTTAAGAGAGTTTCCCCAAGGGTCGTACAACTAGTAAATGGTGGAACCGGGATTTGAAACTAGCCATTTACATAATAGCAGTTTACTTACCTATCTAACTTAACCTATCTACCTGATTCCTTACTTAATCTACCTAACTAGCAGTTTGCTTAATCTCTCATGCTCTAAATTTCCTCTTCTGAAAAATGGGGACTTAAAAAGTTACCTCAGAGGTGGTCTATTAAATGAAAAATACATGGAAAGCACCTGGCATGATGCCTGACATCGAGCCAGTTTTTAGTAATTTTAGTTTCCCGTTTCATCCACTGTTTATAGATAGAATGTTCTGTGTAAAAGACCAAAAGGAGCTGAAGGAAGGTCAGGTTCATGTCTAAAATTGAATAGCTTTTCCTAATCTCAAATATGTACCTTTTTGCCCAATGATAACAGATTAGGGCCAAATGCAGTTCCTTGCTTTTTCATTCCTTTGAATCCCACAAGCTTTCATTTGCCTTTCTAATTCTCAGCAAGAGAATTGTATGAACTGTAAGTACATTTCAGTGTTCACCTTCTATGATGTTTGAAGTCTAGTCACTCTTAGAGTTAATAAGAGATTCAGAGAATCCACCAAATTCTTGAGGCAGCCCCCAACCAAGTTCTCTGAAGAATTTCTAGAATGAAGATTCTCAAGGTTTCCATATGCACTGCAGCCCTGAGAAGCTTCTTAATAATGCAGGCTCTCAGGTCCCATCCTCAGGGATTCTGATTCAGGAGTAGGGTCCAGGAATCTGAATTTTTAACTTGCACATTTGGTGGCAAGAATGCAGGTGGGACAAGGACTGTCTTTGGTCACACTGGCTGGAGGCTATATTCATAGACTGTGAGGACTCGGGATAAAGGTGAACTCATTAAGGTGGGTATGGAGCTCTTAGACTAAGATAGAATCCAGAATTCAGAGGCATGAGGGCACAATTATATTAATCTATGAGAATATATTTTCACTAAAGGAGCTAAAAAGAGAAAATAATAGTAAGACCACTGTTGGCTTTGCTCTTTGACCAATAAAAAATTGACATGACTGAAATATTTGATAGGTCAAATTTGGGTAACTTATACA